TATAGAAGTGGATCAGGACAAAAAGAGAGAATCTTTGTTCCTGAAACTTTCAGAGTCTCTTTCCACAGAGGGGACACATGTTGATGTAGAAGAGACATCAGGAAGAGGGGACACATGTTGATGTAGAAGAGACATGGAGAAGTGGATTTTGCATAATAGGTGACCTTTAAGGCATTGTATGTAAGACCCTTTATATATACAGGCTATAGTTAGACCCATGTTTTATAAAATGTGAAAAATTATGAAAAAAATATGTTTGTAAGTAAGAAACATTACAATTAAGTAAGTAACTTTAAAATACTGATATAATTACATTTTAGGATTTTTCCCTACCTTATTTATTACTTTGAATTCATTGATTACAAATAACATGTTTATTAAAAAGGAAAATATATATTGTTAAAGTAAAATACAAATGAAATGAAATGTGACCCTGTTATATATTCATTAATACAATGAATAATGGATTCACTTTCCAAAGTAACAAGGTTGTTCCTGCTGACATTACGTGCACCCGTACACAATGAATAAGAGAGAGAGAGAAATGAAACACCATCAGAGTGGGATTAAAGGTTCAGTCTCAGTCAGGAACACAGCACTCATCTTTGTGATGTGTAAAAACAGACCTAAATCTTCTTCTCATCTCCTCTCCTCCTCCTCCTCCTCCTCACTGCAGCCATCCTCATCGCCCACCTGAAGCTCTCCACCTCTGAGCTGCGTGAGGTTCTGATGAACATGACCACGGAGCGTCTGGAGCCCGCTCACATCAAGCAGCTGCTGCTGTACGCCCCCAACGAAGAGGAGGTCAAGCAGTACGAGCAGTTCGAGCAGGACCCCGCCAAACTCAGCGAGCCAGACCAGTTCATCTTCCAGGTACAAATAACTCTAACAATCAAACTAAAGAAAACCATGAGAAAAAATTACTTCAATGTTCAAAAAGCTCTTTATTTTTCACTTTAGTCACATCCGTCACAATTTGATATATCATTTGATTACTGATCATTTTTCTTCACGGCATCTCAGAAAAGGGTCCTTGATTTGAGTTTGATTACCTCTTTTTATATTTAATGGACGCTGAGAGAGCCTAAGGCCACGTTTACACGGAGACGGAACGGGTTGTATCCGCTACAGTTCTCTATCGTATGGACTGTTCGTCCACACGAGGCCGTAACGGAATCGCGGAAACGGAGCCGCGGAAACGGAGCCCTCAAACGATAACGGGTCCCAAGGTGGGTAGATCTGCGGACGGAAAGCTCTGGGGGGCCAAACGGCTCTGTGTGTACGCCCTATACACCATAGCCCCGCCTCTCCTGCTCACCCCCGCGTCACCCGTGTCATTGCTGATGTGTTTCGAACAACAACAACAGTGTTCCGAGTGTTTCGAGCCAGGTCCCGGTATCTCGCAGGACAGTGCACCCAGCACGGTTCCCTCGTCTCTTGGAAGAGGCGGAGAGGTGGGTGTTTTTCATCTGCTGGTGGACTACCGGGGAGAACGTCCTGCTCGGGAGCCAGGCTCAGAGTTAGTGGCAGTGGGGGCACACGCTCGCCTCGGGGAGGGAGAAAAAGAGAACAGATGTTAGTGCAAAATCTACAGCTCCTCTACCACAACAATCAGCAACATGGAGAACTACATGAAATACATGTTGCTAAATCCACTGCGGAGAATAAACAGAAGGGCAACCAGGCAACCATGGCAACCATGCTCGGGGGTCTTCTTCGCTGCTTTTGGTGTATTTTGTGGCGGAAGTACAGCACCACTTACAGGCCCGGCGTCTCCAGCGGGTCGAGCGGTCTCGTGTGGACGGACATGTTTATTGAGCCGATACCGTGTGGACGGAAGACTTTTTTGATATCGAATTTGGTTCGTTCTCCGTTTCGTCTCTGTGTAAATGGAGCCTAAGGAGCCTTGTAAATAGCTGCTCTTAAATTACTGTTTGCTCAAGGATCTCTTATGTTTGCAGAGATTAACAATGCCTAAATAAACACATTTTAAAGGGGCCCTATTCTGCTCATTGCCAGGTTCATATCAGTATGTAGTGTCTCTACTGGGACATGTCTCCATGCTTTAATGTTCAAAAAGCTCTTTATTTTTCTCATACTGCCTGTGCTGCAGCACCTCTTTTCACCCTCTGTCTGAAACCAGAGCCCAGTCTGCTCTGATTGGTTAGCTGACCGGCTCTGTTGTGATTGGTCAACCTCTTAGAGAAGTCCCGCCCCTTAGCCTATCACGTACAATGTGTTGGAGCGCTAGCCATTATGACTTGAACAAAGGAGTCCAATAGAGGCACTTCTTTTAGAATGGAGACTTCTTGAAATGTTGTCAGATTTTCTGATGTTTTCAACTTTTTTTCTCACAAATTGCCTGTTCAATTACAAGAAAAGATCCTGTGAACTTCAGAAACTTTTTTTTTTTACCTGACAACAGGTTTTTTTTACTCTTAACATATTTTATTTTTTATTTTTAAGAAACCAAGAAAGATATTCATGTCCTTAAGTCATGAACACAGAAGAGAACGTATTTTCGATCAAACTTTTTCGTCTTTTTTCTCAGTTTCTGCATGAAAAACACTCAACTAAAGTTAGAAAAAGAAAGTGAACTAAGCCAAATTTGTTCTTTAGATGCTGACGGTTCCCGAGTATAAAACCCGTCTGCGGAGCCTCCACTTCAAGACCACCCTGCAGGAGAGGACGGAGGAGATGAAGGTTGCGTACGATTACATCTACAAGGCTTCAGTGGAGCTGAAGAGCAGCAAGAAGCTCGCCAAAATCCTGGAGGTAAACACCCAGAGAAAGGAGAGGAAAGTTTAGCTTATTATTTATCTTAAAAGCAATCATTAAGTGTTTCTTCTTTCCACAGTTTGTACTTGCAATGGGGAATTACCTGAACAATGGGCAGCCCAAGAGCCACCGGACGACCAGCTTTAAGATCAACTTCCTCACTGAGGTAGGGGAAAAACTCCTACGCTAAAACCACAATAGACTTCACTTGTAGCTTTTAGCATTCATTCTTTCCTCATTTATTTCAGCTTAGCACAACCAAAACAGTAGACGGGAAATCCACCTTCCTCCACATTCTGGCCAAGTCTCTGTGCCAACACTTCCCCGAGCTGCTCAACTTCTCCAGAGACCTCACAACGGTGCCTCTGGCCGCCAAGGGTACGATGATTTTTCAGCCGCTGTAACTCTGCTTTCCTGCAGGAGTATCACTTAGTAGCTGAATGCAGTCATTTTAACACTTTATAAGCATCTAATGCAAGTTGATTCTCGTTATTCTAAGAATTAATTGCCAGTTCCCTGCACCTGTTTTACAATATTTAAACAATGTACATTAGTTGCTTAAAGAGGACATATAATGCAAATGTTCAGGTTCATATCAATATGTAGTGTCTCTACTGGGACATGTCTCCATGCTTTAATGTTCAAAAGCACTTTATTTTTCTCATACTGCCTGTGCTTCAGCACCTCTTTTCACCCTCTGTCTGAAACCAGAGCCCAGTCTACTCTGATTGGTTAGCTGGCTGGCTCTGTTGTGATTGGTCAACCTCTAAGTGATGTCCCGCCCCTTAGCCTATCACGTACAATGTGTTGAAACGTTAGCCAATAGAAGCGCAAGTGTTACATAGTGATGTCACTACAGTTTGGATGTAAACAAAGGAGTCCAATGGAGTTGATTTACACTCACAAAAACCTAAGCAAAGCACTACATGAAAGGGAAAACTTGAAAAAAAGGATAACAGGGCCCCTTTAAACTATTTTTGTAACTAACCTCCATATATGTGAATATGCCTTCAGTGAACCAGAAGGCCATCACTGCAGAGCTGACTGACCTTCACTCCACCATCCTGGACATCAGGAAGGCGTGTCTGAAGATCCCGCCCACCTCCGAGGACCACTTCGCCTCCGTCATGAGCGTACGCCAAAAACTTTAAATATATGATACACACACATCAGACATCTAAGCATTACAAATATATGTGTTCATGGAAGCTACTGATTACTGACAGTTTATGTAATTAAAGGATCATTTTGATATTTTGGGAAATGTACTTATTTGCCAATAAGATGAAATGTTCAATCCCCCTCTCTCTGTATAGATAACAGTTTAGCTTAGCTTAGCATTAGGACTTGGAACGTGGCTAAATAGCTAGCCTGGCTTTGTCCGGAATCAAGAAAAAGTAACTATTAGCACACTTCATATCTTGTTTGTTTAGTTTGTGTGTAACAACAACTTTAGTCTAGTACACAAACCCCGTAAAAAATATAATTTGTCATTTAACTTTCACAAATGAATCATACAAGATATAACATGTCTTGTCGTTATGCTAAGCTAGCTGTCTCAAGCTTTATTAAATCTCTAACAAATCAGATGGTAACGCAGGCTGTCTGTTATCATTTATTGGACTGCAAAGCTGAGAAGAAATCAGTGTTGTTTCTCAAACTTTAGAAAGGTCATTCAGAGCCGCAAGAGGACATTTGAAAGTTTTACTGGCTGACAATTCCTCATGACAAGTTAGCTGACTTTGATGTGTAATAATGAGTGTCATGAATCTTGAATGTGTGACCTTGTTGTTCCCACAGAGCTTCCTGGAGAACAGCCACCCTGCGATCCAGTCTCTGGAGTCCCTGCAGACCCTAGCCATGGAGGAGTTTTCCAAAGTGGCCTCGTTCTTCGGAGAGGACAGCAAGTCCGCCAACACCGAGTCCTTCTTCGCCATCTTCGCAGAGTTCATCGGCAAGTTTGAGGTAAGCTCACCACAAAAACTTGACATCTTGCCAAGTATATTTGTCTAGTATCTACGGTAGTCAGAATATGTCTCTACACCTGATATAAGACCTAACGTCAGAAATACACTGCAGTGAGATATCAGGTCTTGTTGTTAGACAATGCATCATCTTGTTAAGTCACAAAATCTTATTTTGAGTCGTATCTCAGATGAAACACATATTTTCTTTACATAATTATTAGAAAATCACAACTAACATCAGAAAACAGAACACTTATGAGCAGTGGTGTAGTGGGGATTTTTTTTTTACTGGGTGGACGGGAGGTGGTGGGGAGACACTATGGACGCGCTCGTGAACTGTCAACGGGGGGGGTACACTGTGTGTGACCTCTGTGTCGCCTCTCAGCGCAACTTACATGATGCCGTCACCCTACACACACACACACACACACACACACACACACACACACAC